CCTTCCTTCCTCCCTCCCTCTCTTCCTCCCATTCTATCTGAACAAAAAATGGAAAAATGTCCTCAGGTGAGGATAAAAAAAAAAACTATGATCTTTGATCTAGAGAGGGAATTGTTAGGTGCTACAAGTTAACTCCTATTTTCCCATCTTATATTTATAACAACCTAATTATCTACCATCTAGTAAGCATTTTTATTGTGTCAAGACACTTCAAGTACATTATTTCGTGTGATTTTTTTGTCCTGATGGTAGGTAATACTGTCTTCATTTTACTATTGAGTCTTGGAGGTTAAATACCTTACCTAAAGGCACAGTGCTAATAAATGGCAGACCAGATACTCAAACTCTGGGTTGTATTCTGTCCAAAGCTTGACTTCCTAACTATTGCTACTTGTCATCCACACTTGATAAATGAGGAACCTAGGGCTCAGAGAGGCTGAGTTACTTATTTAAGGTCACACAGCTATAAATAGCAGAACTGAGATTTAAACCCAGGTCTTTGAATTAGTATGTTGCAAAAATTTTTTAAACATGCAATACCTGGCTATTTAGTCAAGAACACCAACCTCTTTTTCCTTGGATTGTCAAAGTTAAAAATAACAACCCCCAACACAACAATAGCCATCCTGTGTGAATGAATCAAAATTATGCCCCCCCCTTTTTTTTTTGGTCAGGTCAGAAAAACATGTTCTTTGGTGTGCCACAGAATTTTAGTAATTAGTTTATGTGTGCCATGGGATGAGAAGGGTTGAAAATCACTGGACTAAACCATAGAATTTGATGATAGTTGACTGTTTTGACCTATAAAAGTGGCAATTATATATATTTCAGTTTTACACATGTTCTTTTCACTATACCATAATCCCTGAATGATTATAAGGTCAAGATTAAACGCAGAAGGGAAAAACAAGGGCATAAGGAATTGTCAGAAGAGGGGCGATCTGGATAGATAAGGTAAACCTGCTGGTGGAGGAATGTCAGGGTGAGAATTTCAGAACTGATCCAGTAACAACCAGTAGACATTGTCTGTTCTGCTTGATGCTAGGCACTCCTCATCCTGTAACATAGGTTCTGGCTTTGTGCACAGAGAACCAGGGTTGTAGCAGAAATGAGCAAACTTGTTGTAGGGAACCTGAGCTGGGCCTTACATTCTGGAGAGGGATTAGCAAGGAGAAAACAGAATGAACATAGTGATACACAGGGCTCCTTTATAAGTGTGACATGAAAGAACTAAGGTTTTGGAACTACCGGGCTGATACTGAGTTTTAAATTGTTTATGGTATAGAAAAGCTTTTTGGAATTTCTAAAACAATTCAGTAAGTACCCAAGAATAAAGTAACATTCCATCAGTTTTTTTTTTTCTTCCAGATTATTTTATGATTTAATCTCTGAAATTGTTACAAATGTGCTTTCACTATTTAGTATCCTCAGTGCACTGAGTTTTCAAGGCTTAAACTCAGAATTTTAGCACTGGATGGAACACTGAAAGTCATCACTTCCTTAACTCAGCCCCAACCCCTCTCCAGAAAAGGAAAGCAAGACTTCTTGAAGTAAACTAAATTGGATATTACACCATTAGAACTCACATCTGATCATTTCTACTCAGTGGTACTCTACACTACTGTATAGCCTCTCATTTTTACTTGATACAGTCTTTGAGTGTTCATCTGCTTACATACTGAAACTAGACATAAAATTCTTTATGAATTTATACATTTTTGATATTTGACACTTTGTGACTCTGTTTTCCTTTTTGAGTCTCCTATTGGTATTTATTAACACCTCAAAAACCGTTGCTTTTTAAAAAATTCTCATGAAATCTATTTTAATTTATATGTCCTTGAGAGTTTTTAATATATGATATATAGATACATAGATAAGACACATCTAATATGTAAGCACTGAAACCTGATAATAAAATGAACACTCATGAACCCACCACCCTACATAACAAAGGGAACATGATCAATTCCCATCAGTCTCCTTTGTATTCCTCACCTGTGACCTTGTCATCCTCTCACCAACCCACAGTGCTATTTTCTGTTATACAGCACATTTCTGGACTTTTTGTAAATATCCTTTATGTGGTTAAGAAATTTGCTTAAATGAAATTTAAGTTTGTTAAATGTATGTTTCATAAGTGGATGTTAAATTTTATCAAATACTTTTTAGGTATCAAGGTTTTTCTTCTTTAATCTTCTAATATAATGAATTGTATTAATAGATTCCTAATGTCAAGTGACCTGTGCATTTGTAGAATAACCTCAACTTTCTAAATATTTTTGTTGTTGAGTGAGTCAGGAACTGTTTCTCATTTATTCAAGAATTTTTTTAAGATGGAAAGTGTCATTTTCTTGAATATTTGATAGAATTCATCTGTAAAACCTTGGTATTTTCTATAAAGTATAGAAATTTTGGTAATTTATATGATTTTTCGGAATTTGTCTATTTCACTGTTTTTTTGTTTTTTATTTACTAACCACAAAATTTTTATAGTATACTCATTCTGTTTTGTTTCTTTTGGGAAGCTTATAGCTTGGTTCTTTTTCTAACTATGTAAGTTAAATCCTTAGCTTGTAAATTATCACATTTTTCTGATTTTTTCACATAAGTATTTGTACTTAAGTATTTTTTTCTAAGTGCTTCTTTAGTTGCATTCCACAAATTTTAGTGTGATTCGAGTTAAATTCAGTTCAAATAGTTTTTTATTTCCATTTTGTTTTCTTCAACAAGCGAGTTATTTAGAAGTATTTTTAAATGTTTAAACATGGGAATTTCTTTTAAGATTGTGAAACAATACAAAAAGATATGGTTTATATATATTGACTTTTTAAACTTTTTTTGAGATCTGTTTTATAGCTTCGTACATGATCAGTTTTCATAAATATTTCATGAGTGCTTAAAAAAATGCATGTTCTCGCCCTGACTGGTTTGGCTCAGCGGTTGGAGTGTCGGCCTGTGGACCAGCGAGTCCTGAGTTCGGTTCTTGCTAGGAGCACGTACCAAAAAGAAAAAAATGCATGTTCTCATTTTTCAGGCACAGGGTTCATGGAGTTCAAGCTGCACTTCTATGTACATGTTTTGTTTTTTAGTCTGAGTTTATGTATCATTTACAGAGGATTATTAAAATATCTCACTATAATTGATTGTGTATGTTTCTCTTATAGTTTTATTGTTTTACCTGTTTGGAAACTATGCATAGGCACAGCGTATATTATAATAGGCACCGCATATACATTTTGAATTGTTATGACCTGTATTGCATCACTTGTATCTCTTTCCCTAGTAATTTTTTATGCTCTAAAATATATTCTCTCTGATATTAACATAGATATATAACTTTATTTTGAGTATATTTTACCTTGTTATCTTTTTTCATCCTTTAACTATGTTTATCTCTGAATTAGATATGTCTCTTATTAACAGCATTTAATCTAGCCTGACACTATGATTTTTTAAATATCTTTACTGGAGAGTTTAATCCATTTATATTAATTATGATTTCTCCCTTATTTTGTACTTTATTTCTTTTTTTTTTCCCCCCCTCTCCTTTTTTGCCTTTCTTTGAACTCAATAAATATATTTCTCTTTCCATTCTTTTTCTCTCTGATTGGGGGGTTAGATATATTCTTACTTTTGGTAATTACCTGTGAAATTTTAACACTCATGCCCAATCTAAAGTTTATATCCTTTACCCTAATCCTAAACAATATGAGGATTTTTAAATTTATGTTTCTCTTGCTGATGCTATTGTTACTCAGATTTTAGTACCATCTTTATTTGTTTGGTAATTCTATAAATTAGTCATTGTTTTTATTGTTTAATATTTTCAGTGTATGGATTCATACTTGTGTTTACCAATAATTCTGATTTTAATTTGGCCCTTCAATTAGGGAAAATTTTTTATTCTCCCTGAAGAACATAGCAATTCTATATTAAGAGTATATGAATGATAGACTCAGTTTTTGCTCATCTGAGAATGTTATTCTGATCTCATTCTTCACATTTTTGTTGGCTAAACAATTCTAGTTCTCAGTTATTTTATTTTAACTGTTCGAAGGTAATTCTTCTGGTTTCCCTTGTTGCTATTGAGAATCCAACTGGTTTACATATAATCTGTCTTTTCTCTATGGCTGCTTTTTACTCTTTTCTATTTGTCTTTGTTTTCTTGAATTTGATTATAACTTGCCCCATATTTAACTCATTATTGTAAGTTTATTTTTTATTTTTTTCTGCTCTGGATTTGTTATATCTTCCATCAATTCTGGAATTTTTTTTTTTTTTTTTTTTTTTTTTATCCTCACCCGAGGACATTTTTTGTTCAGGTAGAGTGGGAGGGAGAGAGAGGAAGAGAGAGAGAGAGAGAGAGAAACATCGATGTGAAAGGGACACATCGAGTGGCTGCCACCCGCACGACCGACCAGGGCCGGGGACAAACTGCAACCAAGGTACATGCCCTTAGCGGGAACCGAACCCGGGTCTCTCAGGACCGCAGGCTGATGCTCTAACCGCTGAGCCAAACCGGCCAGGGCAATTCTGGAAATTTTTTGCAGACTCAAAGTGCATACATTTTCTGCCCTCCACCCAGAGCCACTACCAAGACAGACAAATTTACTTATCTTCTTTTGTAGGGTAGATATTTTTTTTTCTAGTTCATTCTTTCCCTAAGTGTGAAGCCTTTCTTGGGTTTTAGCGTTAAGCATGAAGGTTCTCCAGTGTTACTTCCATCCTACAAAGGCCTAAGGCTTTACACCTGTTCCTCTGGGCACAACAGGTAGTCAGAACAGAAGCTTCAGACCATTAGTGTTCAGTATGTGTGTATAGTGTGTGTGTGTACTCATGAAGTCTCCTTAGAGGATTTATTTGAGGTTTTTTGCAAGAGTGTTTTGGGACCTCTACTGATAAAAATGGAATTCTGTCCTTTGCCTTAATAATGGAAAAATGTTTTGGTTTCTTTTGGTCAGTGTTAAAAAATACATCTCCTGTCACTTCTTCCACAGGTGAGCAGTAGGTCATCCAGTCCTAGCATCAGAATGATCACTACTACCTCAGGACCAACCTCAGAAAAGCCAGCTCGAAGTCATCCATGGACCCCTGATGATTCCACAGGTGACCAGTTTATTTCTTCATTTTAATTATGAAGTTGAATTTACAATGTTTATCTTCATTTAGTTGTGTCATTACTGTAATCATTGCACAGTGTAGATTTTCTTACTAATAAAATCAAATATTTAGCAATAAACTTAAAAATGTATTTTTGAGTACTGAGTCAGAGACTGTTAGCCCTCTGCATTTTTTTTCACCTAGATACTAAAGATGTATTTTAAAGATGGTTTGTTTTGGGATTTTCCCAGCTAGGAGATACTGTGTTCTTGATATTTTGGTCTGTTACTGTCCTATTATGATCCATTCTACTAGATGATAGTAATAACATCATTATCTTTTAAATACTTAATTTAGCAGGATGGTAAAAATAATAATCTTCATCTCAGGTCTTTTGTGGATTTTTGTTTGTTCTATCCTCACCCAAGGACCTTTTTTTTTTTTTTTTTTTTTTTTTTTTTTTTTTTTTTTTTTTTTTGGCGTTTATCTTCAGATAGAGTGGGAGGGAGCGAGGAAGGAAGAGAGAGAGAGAGAAACATTGATACGAGAGACACATCAACTCATTGCCACCCACACAACCCCAACCAGAGCTGGGGACAAAGTGCAACCGAGGTACGTGCCCTTAGCGGGAACCAAACCCAGGACTCTCTGGTCCCTGGGCCGATGCTCTAATTGCTGAGCCAAACTGGCCAGGGCTTAAAGATCTAAGATACCACGTACTTTAGTGAGAAAAATATTTCTGATTATGACATTTTAAATAATAGGAAAACTTCATTTTTGTAATATAAATAGTTGTTAAATAGACCTTTAAAAGCCAGTTAAGAGTTATTAAAACTCTGTAACATGAATAACTAACTGGTCAAAATACTAGTATTAAAATATAGTGATGGAATAGTTTCATTATGGGCCTTCAGGAAATTATGTGCCATAGTGGAATTAACTTTTCCTTCGCATTAGAAGAATACCTTGATAACACTTAGCAGTATGCTCCTATAAAAATAATTATTTATATGCTATGATGTCAGAGAAAGAACAGTGATCTCTTAGACCTAGGTTTAATTTTCCAATTTTATATAAGATCAAGTATATTATTAATAGTGGCAATTAAATTGAAATTAAAAAGTCATCTCTCTTTGTTTACAAACTAAAATACTGCTTATAAGTATTTATAAATATTTGGCATGGTTTAGTTAAATTTATAATTTAATTTAAAAAATTAACTGGGTGGCTTTTGTCTGTGTCATGTAAGAAAGAACTATGTTTAGCCAGCAGTGTCCTCTCTAGTTTTAGTAAGTTTAAATTTAGCGGTAGCAAAAACTCTTCTAAGTTTCACCCCTAGCACAGCCCAACCTAGGATTGCTCAGAACATTTACCACTATTTAGCACATGTGCAGAATTTATCACAATGTGCTTCTCAGAGGCAGACAGGGAAATGCTCTGGACAGATTTCATCATTAACGGTCGGGTAATACCAGCTCTTTTTGGTTCCTAAACCATCTGGTGAGGGAGTGCTCTCCCTGACATTACAGCTTTTACCTAAACCTGGTACTCAACATGGCGGGCTTCCTGACTTCAGCTGAGCCTAATCTCAACGTGTAACAGACTGTGAGTGCGTGAGGATAAAATCAGAATCCTCTCATGTCCATCTTGCTTAACTGCTGTGTTTCCACGTCATGTTTTCTCACCCTTCAACTCCCATCTCACTGTTTTTCTTTTCTGGAACCTAAACTACCACAAAAGATCAGTAGCTAGAAATCATATATAGATTCAGCTTGTTATGTTAACTGATTTTTTTCTTTGCTTTGAAATTATTGCAAATATGCAGTTACCATTTTTAAATAATGTTGAATACAATTTTAGAAGTTGAGGCTCTGGTTTATGTTTATAATTTATGAAGCTTTGGACAATTTCTAAGAAAAGTATTGATAATTAAGCTAATAGAATAAATTACAGGGACGAAATAGGTAAAGCTTTTTCTTTGCCGGCCCCACTGACTCAGGAAAAAGTCCGAAGTGCATACATAAATTAAAACAACCTAATTAATTAGGTTTTTTTTTTTTTTTTTAAAGGGAGAGCTTTCTGTGTATTTTCCAGAGAAAAATAAAGAGCAGGACAATTTAATAATCATAGCACATAATGAGTGCTCTTGGGTTTCTATTTATAATATAATAGAGATTTAAAAAAAGAAAAGACAAATGTACCATAGACAAGCTAATGAGAGAGCTGCCGAGACCTAGTCCACGAAGCCACAGAGCTTGGGAAAACGCGACTGGAGAGTTGCTTAGTACTTGACCAAGGTGGAAACACAAGACATGCCTATTGCCGCAATCTGATTAGAGCATCAGAATACTGACACATAAAAATAAAGTCATCATGCTGTGTAATAAACTAAATTTGTAGTGCAAGTTGAGTTTTGTAATAGTTAAGACAGAAATCAATTAGGTAAGACCTGTCATAGTGTGCAGTTTTTTTGTAAAATTGAGAGACTTCTTTAGTCATAAAGCAGAAAAAGGACATTTCACATGAAAGGAACATGTACCTGGGAATATGAGATGGTTATATAAGTATTGTTATATATAAGATGGTTATATAAGTATTTGAGGGGCCAGAAAAGATATGTATATTTTTTTATCCTCACCTGAGGACATTTTTGCATTTATCTTCAGATAGAGCGGGAGGAAGAGAGAGAGAGAAACATCGACATGAGAGAGACATCGACTGGTTGCCACCCACACAACCCCAACTGGGGCCAGGGACAAACTGCAGCTGAGGTACGTGCCCTTAGCAGGTACCGAACCTGGGACTCTGGTCCACAGGCTGATGCTCTAACTGCTGAGCCAGTTTTTCCTATAAAGTCAAGGAGAAATCATTTATTTGTTTTTTTAATTTATTTATTAATCCTCCTCCGAGGATATGTTTATTAATTTGAGAGAGAGAGACATCATTGTGAGAGTGAAACATTGATTGGTTGCTTCCTATATGCTCCCCAACCAAGGATCATACCTGTAACCTGGGTGTGTACCTTGACCAGGAATCAAACCTGAAGACCTTTCAGTGTGTGGGACCATGCTCCAACCAACTGAGACACACTGGCCAGGGCAAGGGGAAATCATTTTTAATCCATTTTCACTTTGTGGAAATAATGTTCCATGGGGACATAGTTTCGAACTGCTTTTGGGAATGAGGAGAGGGTTGGTCAGAAAGATAACCAATTAATTGTACCTCTGATTTAGCCAATTCAGAAAAACATGTTAATGTATAATTTTAGGATAAATGAGGCTCTCCTAGGCAATACTCTGTTATTCTTTCTTTAATAAACATTACATTTCAATCTGAAGTACATACTGCCTTCCCTTCCTCATTCTCCATTTAGTATCAATAACAAGAATAATAACCATTACCACCATGTGTTGTGTGCTTACCCAATGCCAGTATTGCATGGTATTTCTTACGTGATTCTATCATTTGGACTGATTGAGCTTAGCTTTTGGAGTTACTTGCAAGCACATTCTCAATAGTTTAAAAAAAAAAAGCTAGAGTACCACTCAACAGTAAATTAAGAAGTTACTAAACCATCAAACTCTTAGTGTTTTATTGCATTGGATGCAGTGCCTTGCTTTTATCCTGACCTTGCATTTATCCACACTACTCTTTCAACGAGTTACTTGTCAGAAAAAGAGCTGAACGGCAGCTCACTTGCGGAGTTCATTTGTTGTCTGCTAACAGTGGGAAAGCAAATACTTCTGAAATAGAAAATTCCTTATTCAGTTATCCTGCCTGCTTCCAGAACTACTATACATAGATGTTTATGTTGGGAAGAGACCATTCTATACTTCTCACACAAATAAAGCAGTTTTATCTCTTTTGAAACACAAGCAGAAGCTATCTGTTCAAATAGTTGGATAAAATTTAGTTATTTGAATTAACCCATTTAACTGTTTGCCCATGACTTTAAGCCACAATTTTCATAGTGTAATATACTCCCATCAATAACATCTCTCATTTCTGTAGTGATTCTCATTAGGAGGGGTGGGATTGGGGGCTCACACTACAATTTACACACATGAAGGTGATCCACTGGAAGGCAGTGTGTCTGTTGCTTTCCCATTTTCCCCATTAAGAAGCACTAGTGTTTCCAGAATTGACACAGCCTTATAATATACCTAGCATGATCAGGGGAAGGAAGAGATGTGGGTTTGATTAGGTAGATCTATGTCTGTGAAGACTAAAATGTAAAGGGCATGATTCTGAATATAAAGAGTACTGTAGTCATGGTTCTGTATAACAACAAAAGTGTTAAAACAGTGATGTAAATTTAAGTGCTGAATTAACTCTGACAAAAAGACACAGGTTTTCTAGGGCATGGTTTAACCCTTTTAAAAGATTGTTACATTAGTGTATCACTGTTATTGTTTTTTGTTTTTGTTTTTTTATTTACTGAATACAGAGAGGAAGGGAGAGGGAGAGAGAGAGAGAGAAACATCAGTGACAGAGAACATCAATTGGCTGCCTCCTCCATGGCCCCCACCGGGGATTTGGCCCACAACCTGGGCATGTGCTCTGTCTGAGAATCGAACCGGCGACTTCTTGATACTCAACCACTGAGCCCCACCGGCTGGGCCCGGGTTAATTTTTAATTAAACAAGGACTTAAAAGCTTTAATGTTATTTCATTTATAGCCAACTTAAATTATAAGTATGTGAGTATGGTTGCATTCTAATTATCTGGTAATTGGATATTCTTTGTTTAGAATTCAAAACTAAACTCTTTATTACCGGTAACAATAACTTTTATGTGTTCTTTACTTTAGGGAAAAAATACCAATATTTCATGCATGCTTTCCTGCTTTTGTTAATATAATTTATGTGACAGAAAATAAATAAAATACATGCTTGAATTACAGATACCAATGGATCAGATAACTCCATCCCAATGGCTTATCTTACACTGGATCACCAACTGCAGGTAAGGTAATACTGTACTTTCTCAGTTAGCATTTACTTTTTCTTAGAAAAAGTTTAGAGAATTTATCTTTAAAGGTGACATTTGTGTTTCTGTTGTTGTATATTCATTTTTTTATGCTTTTTGTTAGCCTCCTTAATCTTGTTAAAATAAATTCTTTCAGTTACATTAATCAAATTTAAAATTGGCAGTATCCTAAGTTCTTATCCTAACAGTCATGTTAAAATACTGTCATATCTTTTTTGTTGTTGTAAATCCTCACCCAAGGATATTTTCCATTGATTTTTTTTTTAGAGAGAGTGGAAGGGAGAGAGAGAAAGAGAGAAACATCGACATGAGAGACACATTCATAGGTTGCTTCCCACCGGACCCTGACGGGGGCTGGGGATCAAACCTGCAACCCAGGTATGTGCCCTTGACTGGAATGGAACCCAAGACCCTTTGGTCCGTGGTCCGATGCCCTAACCACTGAACCAAACCTCCCAGAGCAAAATACTCTCATATCTTTATGATTTTCAAAAATAGCATTTGTATTCTTTAATTTTAGTGCACAAAAATACAAAATTCATATAAGCTTATTTCTGTGTAATAAATTTTGTGATACATTGTCATGTTCATAGTGACTGAAAATATATGTGATGGATTTCAGTGTCTCCTCATGGGTATCAGAACAATAAACATCTTTTGGTATAATGTAGTTTGACAACCTAAAATGTAAAACCAGAGGCCAAGAGTTCTCGAGTCTGGTTCTCTGGAACAACGACTGTTAAAACAGCAAGTGTAAATTTAAGTTCTGAGTTAATTCTGACAAAAGTACACAGATTTTCTAGGGCATGGTTTAACACTTATTTTTAAAAGATTATTACTGTAGTGCTATAAAAATATATCACAGTCACTGTCTTAACTCTTAGCTAGATGTGGAGATTTGATTTAATTAGTTTTAACATTTTTTATTTATTTTCAGCCTCTGGCACCATGCCCAAACTCCAAAGAATCTATGGCAGTGTTTGAACAGCATTGTAAAATGGCACAAGAATATATGAAAGTTCAAACAGAAATTGCATTGTTATTACAGAGAAAGTAAGTTATCTTTTATTAATAAAAATTAAAACTCAGTATTTTGTGTTTGAAATATGTTAATGTGTAATATTGTTTGAAGACATGAAAACTTTATCATTTTTAGAATTAATCATTAAGCATATTTCTAACTTGGAGATTTTGTGTATGTTTATTTTTAAGCATCCTTAGGCTATGTTTCATGTAAAATTCAACCCTTTCGACTATGTCATATTATTTAGCACTAAGGAAAGTAAACTGGTGCTACATAAACATGTTTTATACTCTCAGCATTTTAAAATTAAAAGCTCTTTAAAAGATTTCTTATAAAGATTTGGTTTTTTTTGGACATAAGTAAAATAATTTGATTTACTAATGTTTAGTTGTGCTCTGTCTTAGAAAAATTTTGTAGATATGCTCTTTCCCAGCATATGGTTAGTAGAATAGAATTACTTGTTAGTGGGCTTTATTTCATATCTTATGAGTGTTTTTCAGGGGAGTTTTATAATCACATGTATTTTATATGAGAGTTATAGACTTCCTTTCTGTCTTTTTAAAGAAATACAGTACAATTTTTGTGCTCTTTTATATGCATTTTTATTTTTTTTAAAAAAAGCTTTAGTTTGGCCCAACCAGTGTGGCTCAGTGGATTGAGCATCACCCATTTACTGAGAAGTCCAGGTTCGATTCCTGGTCAGGGCACATGCCCGGGTTATGGGCTGGATCCCTAGGAGGGTGTGTACAAGAGGAAGCCGATCGATGTTTTTCTCTTATCAATGTTTCTATCTCTCTCTCCCTTCCTCTCTCTCTAAAAAAGTCAATAAAAACATATTTTAAAAAATAATAATAAATAACAAAGATTTAATTTGTTTAAGTATGACCCTTATGAAATTTTATATCTCTGAAGTTGATTTATAGTAGTAACTAAAATGAAGTATTGTGGTAAAACATCATGGAAACTACACACACACAAACACACGGTAACAGAATTTTCTCTGTTAATTTTAATCAAATAAAAATTCTTGTTTCCTGAAGTAATCTGTGGGAAGTTTTCTGTTTGTACTTCCAAGAAAAATGGAAAATAGTTTAATCACAATTTACTAATAATAGTGATTTGATTTCAAATTAATATCTTAAAGGCGAGGCTAGATAGGAAATAAATGCAGGGTGGCACAAAAGTAAGTTTACAGTTGTGAGCACGCAAAACAGTTTTATTCATTTATTATTTATTAATTGTTTTATTTTCCATACTGACAACAGTAAACCTACTTTTGCCCCACCCTCTATTAGAGTCTGCAAATCGTAGAACTAATTATGGAACTGTTGGCCCTTCCTATTAAAGCAAACTTTGTATTTCTTATTTCACATGTTTAATCTATACTTTTTTCATACTTCAATCGTTTGAAAGAGAAGGTTTGTGCTGGAAAAAGCAAATAGTGATTGGGGGATGTGGAAACTATTGGCAGTTTTAAATACTTACTTTACCTGAGAAATATTACTAGGAAATCATTTTGAGGACTTTATTTGGGTATATCCAGTAGCCTCACTTCAGGAGTTAATACTTAATATCCCCCAAGTAAGGAGACTTTTAAAACTGTATTAGGCTATAAAATATAGAAGACTCTGAGGGTCTTCCCTGAAAATGTTTGCAAACATGCAGTTTAGAAGTGGTACTTTGTATTGTTCTCACTGTTTTTAATTAGGAACGAGATTTAAGTTTATAGCATCTATTTTAATTAGCTTGCAAATATTTTGTTAGCTACCAATTTGTACTGTAGTTAAATAGGATTGTGACTACAGACTATGAGTATAAAAGTGAAATGTGAAAGGTAAAAACTTCAAGTATTATTTTCCTGTAGTCAAATGAAGCCCTTCCCGGCCTTTTTTCCTTCCTTCCTCCACAAAAAGGATAGCAAATGAAAATTTCTGAAACTTTTACTGTACTATTTTATCTGTTTTTACTAAATATCTAAGTGTAGTTACTTATTAAAGGAATTATGATATTTGTATGGTTACACCAGAAAAGTAATTGATAGTTTCCATTCCAGCCCATAAATATATTTGAGTGGTATACCCAAGATGGTAGATCCAGAATAAAAGTTATAATTCATTGAACTTCCATCATCAGCTATTAAGGTATGACTTTCTCCATTATGTAGAATATCTTACTACTGGTATTTGTTTTTAGGCAAGAACTAGTTGCAGAACTGGACCAGGATGAAAAGGACCAGCAGAATACATCTCGTCTGGTACAGGAACATAAAAAGCTTTTAGATGAAAACAAAAGCCTTTCTGCTTACTACCAGCAATGCAAAAAGCAGCTAGAGGTCATCAGAAGTCAGCAGCAGAAACGACAAGGCACTTCATGATTCTCTGGGACTGTTAAATTTTAAAATATGCAAAGAAAGACTTTTTTTTTTAAGGAAAAAAAAAACCTTTATAATGACAATCATGCGTGTTAGCTTTTTGGCGTGTTCTGAATGCCAACTGCCTATATTTGCTGCATTTGTTTCATCTTTTATTTTCCTTTTCTCATGGTGGACATGCGGTTCACCTGTCTCCTTGCATAACATGGGGGCATCTATAACTTGAATAAGCAGCAGTTCTCAGCTTCAAAACAGATGCATGGACCGTGGCGTATATGCGTGCTCTTTGTGTGAAGGCTAGCCTAACAAAAACAGGAGGTATCAAACTAGCTGCGACGTGCAAACATCCTTTTTTTTTTTTTTGAGGTGGAACCTCAGGAATTATTTTGTTCTTGTATCTCATCTCAAAAAAATTAATACATTTTTTTCCCCTAAAGATGGTATATACCAAGTTAAAGACAGGGTATGGTAAATCTAGAATAATTGGTGGTGCATTTTAGAAATGCAGAAGCTTTAGGGATAGTTCAAAGTGAGGGCTTTGATGCCAGCATCCTTGGATCAGTACTGAACATAGTTTCATCTATAAAATATTTAAAGGTAAGTGGTGGCTGCTGTACTTATTAAAAGCATATTTCATTAGACTAAAATTTGAGTATGATACATTAAAGTGGAACCCTTTTTATAAGGTATAAAGATTTTTAATTATGTGATGGCATGTTTGTGTGTTGAAACTGTAAAGCTTTTATGACTCTAATAATATCTCTTAAATGAAATTAAAAGGTAAATGAACACTATCCAACTTAAATGATCATTCCTTCCTGCCATGATTATTGGATTGGTTTACTGTATATTTGAAAAACTGAAGAGAAATAATGGAAGATGGAAATAATTGTTCCAGCAAAAGGGCTTGCACTTAGATACTTCTACGATACCAAATGCATAAAAATCCTGGGAAATGGAGAAGTGTTAGTAAGGAAATTAAAGAAGTAATTATAAATTTATCAAGTATCATTTATTGATATTGGAATAGTTGGTTTTCCTTGCAAGCCCATTCTAGAATGCCTGCTGCCTTTCAATACTCAAATTTCAACACTTATAATAAGAGAAATTTTATATTGTTAACAATAACTTTGCCACCAACTTTGAAAATAAAAGTAATAATAAAACTTCATTGAAATAATAGGCTATATAACATCTATTTTTTCAATTGGTATTAAAATAAATCATATTTTGATACCAGTACAAGGTGTCTTTTAAATAAGGATGTCATCAACCTCATTTTTATAGCATTAATGTTTTTGGAAGAAAAAATTTAAAATGAAAGCATAACTGATGTGATTATTAGAATTATATTGTGATTGTATTGTAGTTTTGCTCTTTCAGATAAGCAGGTTGATCTAAGAAGTTATCAAAACTATTCTTTAAATAGCTAAAGCAGGTAACTTTTCTTTCATTATTTTTTCCTCCTCCTACTGAGTTTTATAATGTATTCTTTGTGTATACAAGCAATAAAGGTAAAGGACAGTTTGTACTAAACTGTGTCATTTTTAGCTTCTTCAAAATTTGTTATTAAGTTTCTAGTAAATGAATGTCTACCATCGCTTCATTTAAACACAGAGGGTTATCATTTCCAAATAAGTTGATTACCTAACTGAAAGTAATATTGGTTTTTAACATATTAATAGTAAAATAAAATTGGCACAGAAAATAACTGTAGACCTAAGGAACAGCATAACTTAGCCATAGCATTTCTGCTTGTATATACATCTTTCACTCCACCAAAAGGGACCTAGGCAGTGTTTAGAGACTTTTCTGATTATCAGAGGAGATATCCAAGCATGGATACTAAGGCTTGCTTTTTCCATTATGATTTAGCATTCTAGATTTTTATTTCATTTCTTAATCATTAATATGTTTTTGCTCTATATTACATACTTAAGGGGAAAAAATATATTGTTACTATTGCATGCAGTCACTTCATAAATATATCCCAGTAGGTAAATGGAAAAAAAATAGTAGTTTTAATTGTGATGCCAAATGCAAAAAAAAGGCTTTTGCACACTTGCTTGTTTGTTTACAGTAAGTTCCTGGGGATTTTCAGTACTTTAACCATCCTAGACACTGAGTGCAGTTCAGCCTTACTTGATATTTTAAATAGTTGTGTTGCCAAGCTCATGGTTTTTTAAGTCCTGACTATCTTTGATGATCAGAGAAAACAATTGCAGTGATTATTGAAATTCATAGCCAGTTTTATCAGTGTCCTCTCCCATCAAACCTTCAGAGAGATGTTAACAAGGAGCCAGACTTTTTTAAAATTCTGGCTTTACCATTTGTTGTAATCCTTGTTTCTTGGGTGGAAATAACTAACAGACGAGTGGCTAAAAGTCTTTAGTCTAAGAAATCCATGAGCAGTCCCTGAATAAGCCAGAATTACATTTTGTTCTTGCCTCCAGGGAAAGAAACAAAGCTTTTCTCTAAAATAGAGGTAAGCACTCCTCAGCCATAAAAGTACTTTTTGAGTCAAATAAAAATTAGTTCAGAATATTTACCTTAATAAAATTAGTTCCGAATATTTACCTTAAACTCCAACAGCATAAAAAAAGGACGTGGAAACCGGAAAAAGAACCAATCAGAAATGAAGGATACAATAACTGAAATGAAGACTAAATTACAGGCAATCAACAGTAGAGTAGATGAATCAGAGAATCAAATAGCAATTTGGAACATAAAGAAGCAGAAAACACCTAATCAGAACAACAAAAAGAAAAAGGAATCCCCCCGCCCCCAAATGAAGATAGCGTAACGAGCCTTTGAGACAACTTGAAGTGTACCAATATTCACATCATTGGGGGTGCCAGAGAAGAGAGAGAGCAAGAAATTGAAAACCTCTTTGAAAAAAAATGACAGAAAACTTCTCTAACCTGGTGAAGGAAATGACCATAGAAGTCCAGGAAGCATAGAGTCCCAAACAAGATGAACGTCAAAAGGTCCACAACAAGATACATCATAATTAAAATGCCAAAAGTTAAAGGCAAAGAATCTTAAAAGCAGCAAGAGAAAAGCTGTCGGGTTACCTACAAGGGAGCTCCCATAATACTGTCAGCTCATTTCTCAACAAAAACGTTGCAGGCTAGAAGAGATTGACAAGAAAAAGCGAAAGTTCATTACCTTCAAACTAGTATTTTAAGAAATAATGGATCTTCTTGACGAGGAGGAGGAAGAAGAAAAAAGATAAAAAGATTGCCCTGGCCGGTTTGGCTCAGTGGTTAGAGCATCCGCCTGTGGTCCAGAGAGACCCGGGTTCAGTTTCCGCTAGGGGCATGTACCTCGGCTGCAGTTTGTCCCCGGTCCTGGTCAGTCGTGTGGGTGGCAGGCATTCGATGTGTTCCTTTCGAATCAATGTTTCTCTCTCTCTGTGTGTTCCTCTCTCTCCCTCCCACTCTACCTGAACAAAAGATGGGAAAATGTCCTTGGGTGAGGATTAAAAAAAGATAAAAATATTAATAATAAATGGCCATAAAAAAAAAAATTTGCCCTAGCCAGATGGCTCCATTAATTGGAGCATCATCCTGTATACAAAAGGTACAGGTTCAATCCTGGGTTGGGGCTTATACAGATAGCAACTGACCAGTGTTTTTCACATTGATGTTCCTGTCCCACTCTGTCTCTCTCTTTCTCTCCCCCTTCCTCTTTCCCGAAAATAAACACAAACATATCCTTGAATGAAGATTAAAGAGAAAAAGAACAAAATCATACCATTTATAACAGCGTGGATAGACTTAGAGGGCATTAAGCTAAGTGAAAAAGTCAGAGAAAGTCAAATACTATATGATTTCACTTATATGTGGAATCTGAAGAACAATATAAACAAAACAGAAACAGACTCAGATTCAGAGAAGAGATTGATGGTTGCCAGAGAGGAGAAGAGTTTGGGGAGCTGGTGAAAAAGGTGAACAGATTGAGAAATGAACTACAGGTTGGTGGTTACAAAGTAGTCATGGGAATATAAAGTATAGCATAGGAAATATAACCAATAATATTATAATTGTGTGTGGTGCCAATTTGGTACTGGAAATATCGGGGATATTTTGTAAAGAATATGATTGCTTAACCACTATGTCGTACACGTGAAACTAATACAAAACAATAATGAATGTAAAGTGATTGAAAAACAATTTTTTAACTTAAATACATTACAAAAAAAATTGCTGTATAGCAACATAGCATATTGAAGAGATTTGTTTAAGTGTTGTTACAAATGTTTGACTATTTTTGCTGAAGTATTCTAGGATATTGAATGTCTTTTTTTCCTCCAAGTTTTTTATTTTGTTTTTGTTAGAATAGTTTATTGATTTTTAGAGAGGGAGAAAGAGAGAAAAACATCTGTATGAAAGCGCAATGGCTGACTTCAGCACACTCCCTGCTGGGGATGGAGCCCGCAGCCTCCTGGTGCATGGGACAATGCCCAACCAACTGAGCCACACTGGTGAGAGCGCCTTCAAGTCTCTTTAAGTTCCTAGTTTCAGCTCTTCCCTGTAGTCAGAGATCACAGGCCGTGCCTGTGAAACTTTGTTTCTTTTTGTAGGTGTAAGGTTTGCAGCAGTCAACTCTCTTCAAATGATAGGATGTTCCCCTCTATCATTTAGAGCATTTTATGTAAAATGATGTAATTCAAAAATCCTTGTACATACTGTATAATTAAAGGAAGGTTTTCAGATTTATTTTTGTTTATAATAAAATTTAGATTGTTATTCTAAACTTGTTACTAAAGATGGTGAATAATTTATGTCAGCAAATGGGCTGTAAGGTGTTCTGCTCCAGCAGTATACTTACCTTACATAAAATCGAATAAATACTTAAAAATCAGTACTTATAATACTACCACTGTTGTAACATAATGATTTTTTTGTTGTTGTTACAGATATTTCTTTTTGTACCCCATTGACACCCTCCTCCCCATCCCCCCCCCGCCCCATCCCCGGCTTTGTTGTCTATGTCCATTGGTTATGCATACATGCATATAAGTTCTGTGGTTTATCTCTTCCCACCCCCCACCACCCTCTCTTCTGAGGATTGTCAGTCTGTACCCTACTTCTGTGTTTTGGGGTCTACCCTATTCCTCAGACTGTTATATTCATTATATTCCATATATAAATGAGATCATGTGGTATTTGTCTTTTCTGCTTGTCTTGTTTCACTTAGGATAATACTTTTCAGGTTGCTCCATGTCATCTCAAAGGATAAGAGATCTTTCTTCCTTACAGCTGCATAGTACTCCATTGTGTATGTGTGCCACAGCTTTTTTATCCACTCATCTACTGATGGACACTTGGGTTGTTTCCAGATCTTAGCTATTGTAAATGGTGCTGCTATGAACATGGGGGTACATATATTCTTTCTGATTGGTGTTGCAGGCTTCTTAACGTATATTCCTAGAAGCGGGATCACTGGGTCAAATGGCAGTTTAATTTTTAATTTTTTGAGGTAACACCATAGTGTTTTCCATAGTGGCTGCACCAGTCTGCATTCCCACCAGCAGTGTACAAGAGTCCCCTTTTCTCCACACCCTCACCAACACTTCTTGTTTGGTGATTTGTTGATGGCGACCGTTCTGACAGGTGTGAGGTGATACCTCATTGTTGTTTTAATTTGCATCTCTCTGATGAGTAGTGATGTTGAGCATTTCTTTATATGTCTCTTGGCCATTTGTATGTCCTGTTTGGAGAGGTGTCTATTCAGTTCCTCTGCCCATTTTTTCATTGGGTTCTTTGTCTTCCTTTTGTTGAGTTGTATGAGTACTCTCTA